ACCATTTTTTCTAATTATAGAATCCGGAGCGAATCCGTTTGACAAACGGCAAAATAAAATTACATTTATAGAAAGCAAACAGAGGATTTATTTTCTTGTGGTGAGGGCAAGTCTATCGATTCAATATAAACATTCCAGATAAATATCGATGTTAATTTTGATATAGCTGAGTCAACCCCTAGCGTACATGTAAAATATTTTGTATAAAAATGAATTTATCAAATTATCAACAACATGACTTTTTCTTTGCAAAATATCAAAATTAACTAAATAATTGAAAACATTCTACATTTTAAACAGTATATAACATAAATTTTAACCAAAAATAAACAGGTCATAACACTGACGACATCATGTGAATTTGTCTGTGAAATGTGCAGTTATCTAGATTATTTCTATTATTAACACCACAGTCACTCACAGAACAAATAACCATTTTGGAAAAAGGAACTTACTAAAAATAACAACTATTAGACTCTAAAAACTTATAAAATATCTAGGAGCTTATTTCTTGCGTGCCGACTAGCTTGCTACATATTTATTTATATATGGTGCCGACTTGTGCCGACCTGTCATTCAAAATCGATTATAGAGTCATGAAATTTGGTATCCTTACCTATCTTGCATTTTTCCCATAAGGAATTTTCTTCTCCCTTACACACTATGTCGGTCTATACGCCAGTATATTCTAAGTCTATGGTCCTATGTAATGTATGATTACTTTATAGTTCTAGTAGTTTCTAATAATTTCATTGTATTTTGTAACCTATGAAAACCTAAAGATTATACAATGATAAATCTAATAACAAAAAATATCACAGTACCAAATTCTTCATATAACACATATACGTCATTGTTTTAGATGGTTCTAAACCAGTTATGTGCACTTTTAAAGTTATACTTCTTTTGGGGCGTTTGGGAAAAATGATGAGAGTGAAGTGACACCTAAAAACGACACCTTGATGTTGTTACGATGCGCGCGCACACTGAAACCTAAAAGCAACAACTAAGTAGGTAATTATCTCTAAAATTTTTGTTTTGTTATGCTAAAGAAGTATAACTTCCTACGTGCGTACATAAGTACAATCACATTTTTTTTGGTTTAAAAAATTTCTAATTCCTTAAATAACTAACATTTGTGGAAAATTTAGTATTTCTTTTATGTATCAAATAAACGTCTATCATATTGCATTAATATTTTGCCAGGGTTTTCGTTTGTTTATTCAATAACACGTTTTTGTTGTTTCCTAAAACCTTACAAATATTACATATGGAAAAACGTAAAAAATTATGGACATGATACCTAAATTATAACGTAGTATAATGCATTGTCCTCTATGTATACGACACAAGTACGCTGGACTGGCTATACCATACAAAATGCTTCTGCCGATTTGAAGCGCTCTCATTGTCCGTACCGGGAACTAAAATTGACATAATACGGCAAAGAGACCCTTTTTACTGGAAATGAGGCATTCCATCTTAGTCCTCACGGGTGACAACGCATCTTTTTTTTATAGGGTAAGGGTGACAAACGAGCACACAGTCCACCTGATGGTAAGTGGTTGCTGTGGCCCATAGACATCTACATCTATCTTCGATTAAGAATCAAAATGCAGTTGCGTTGTCACCCGTGAGGACTAAGATGGAATGCCTCATTTCCAGTAAAAAGGATCTCTGGTTCTCTACACTCACCATAAGAAACACAGTAGCGTTTAGCTGCTATTTTATGCTGGTATTCTATGAGACTGTGGTCCTTCCCCGATCGAGCCGACCCATTCGTGCTACAACCATAATATAGCTGCAGCATGGCTCTACCAAATATAAGGTCCTCTGTATTTTGATTCTTAATCAAAGATAGATGTAGATGTATCAGGTGGACTGTGTGCTCGTTTGTCACCCTTACCCTATTAAAAAAAATGTCTGTTGTGTTATTTAAATCGGATCTATGTATTTTAAACATTTAAACTAAAAAATTAAAATTTTTATGTGGTTTAATTATGTTTGATTTTAGTTACATAATAAGAATTATTTTTAGTAATAGTGAGAGTGTGCGTAATATATAAAACTTGTTACCAAAAGGAAAGTGGGATAACATTCCACAAGTAAGTTAATTTACAGCTAATATTAAACAAATTAAAACTATTTGATAATATAGGTACATAAAAATTTGTTACTAATCTTAATATCGTAATTACTAACATGTTTTGCTTTATATTACTGAGTTTTATTTTATTTGATAAACAATAAAATTCAATAGGGTTGTCGAGTTCCTTGTCTATAATACTTGTCGATGATCGTCGATAAGTATTATAGACAAGAATTCCTACCAATATCTGTTAACAACCAAAGTGTCCGACAACAGATAATTATCAATGTTTATTAATTAACAGGTTTCCAACTGAACCTAGAATAAAATTATGGCTAAAAAGCATAAAAATTGTGAATTGGCGTCAGAAACAAAATTATTATCTTTGTTCTAAACACTTCACTGACGACTATTTTATTAGACATGAGAAACGCACCACTTTGAAAAAGTGCAGTATACCCACAATATTTTCTGATAGTACTAGTACCAGTAAGTATAAAAGTATAAGATTATTATTTCGAATGTTTTTTTTTATTTCTTCTCTCCTTATTTTCCCCCAAACTCAAGGACCATAATCAAGTGTAGAAAGGTCGCCTAATGATGACCTTGTGTTTACAAGACGTAAATTTGTTAAATCTACTTAAATATGACCAATTTATTATATCAAGGGAATAAATTCATAATGGGACTGCAAAATTATTAATGTTGTTAGAAACCCATGGTAAACGTAGGATGACTCACATGGCTGGCCCAAAGTGAAAGGCTGGCCCAAGGTGGCCACTCTGAGTGGGCTTGTTGAGCTCTTGGATATTTGTTAGTGGGCTGCAGCTAGAGGAGAGAGCTCTCCCTATACAGTTGCGGTGATGCGCCACTCAACTATCCTCCGCGACTTTGGCGGTGCTACACCACTTGGTGCTGGGGGAGTCTGTTGTGCAGGTGAAGTTGGAGGCCGCGAAGGGCAGTGTGCTTTGTATTCCTGGTGTGCCTTATCTGAGAAGGAAAGGGGGAAGAGAAGTCCTTAACTAAGGAGGGGCTGCTATTGGGCGGCTGGCGCTGGTGGGGCCGCGGATGTATTTGAAAGCGTTTCCGTGGCCCTGCCAATGTGCGGCAAAGGTGTAACACCATGGGGTTTTAGTAGGTGTGAGTCCGACATAATTCGTTCTTGCCTCTGCGAAGCGGGTATACGTAGACATTTCCTCATTTGAAACCCGGAACAAAATCCGTTCTTACGAATAAAAACGTAGATAGAACAAGGCATCGTCGATCTTGGTTTTATATGAGGTATAAAGCTTGTGTCTAAGGCCTAGGTATTAATTGATATATTTATTTATTGTATGGCATTATATTAATATGATTCATAAATAGAATGGATTTTACACGTAGGCCTTGATATAGAATTTTTATCGATATATTTTGTCACTGTCTTATCTCTTTAATTAGTTCCTAGGATGTTCATTTCTGCTGTCAGCGCCAAAATGACGAAAATCATATCGCCTCATTATGTCACGGTGTATAGCCAGTCCATATATTATAGAGGTCAGTGGTATAATGGAATGACATGATAGATGGTTGAAAGGGTTGCTATAAGAATTATTAAGGTACCCTATTTATAAAGATTGTTTAAAACAAATAGTTATTAATTTGTGATAAACATTTGATGTTGTATGATAGTAACCACAGACTAATATCAGTAATTTAATCATTTTGGGAAAAGAAATTGTAAATGTTCGCTTTACATACGACTATGTATTTGAAAAATGCTTTAAAATATTACTAGTAAATATAATCCATATATATTTCAAACCTCCATGACAATAAAATATGGCAACGATTCAGTTAAAAACGTACTTAACTTATTCTAAATTATTGCTACGCTCTTTTGCTTACGCATATTAAAAGTAAGAGATGGAAGTAATTTTAAAGCCGTTGATTCAGTGAAACTTAATTTCTCGAACAATTTTTGTTGTCACTTCGGAATATGTCCTTTAAAAACACAATGAAATTCACTGTGTGAACTAATTTGACAGCATTAAAATTCTTGATATTTCTTTCTTGTTTTCCCAAGTAGTAAAAGATAACGATGGATTAAAATAAGCTTAGTGTGTTTTTGACAGAATCGACACCATTATCTGATACTAATTATATAGTTCATATAGTTCACAAGTGTGGTACAAGATTATTGTTGGTCACACCGAAGAAGGAAAAGAAAGAGATAGATCCGCTTTATAAACTTTATATTTTACAGACTACAATGATACTTACGCATGTATATTCTATGTATATGAATCCGTCTCATTAAGCCTTCCTTTAAATTTTTTTTTAAGTTGATGTTTAGGTATGACCACGATTTTACAAGGTATCTCCCTTCCTATTCCAGTTATTATAATAATAAACAACAAACTAGTAAGAAGTGCTAGCGCAACCCCAACAATGTACTCTGTGCATTTTCCTCACATAGTACATTGTAGGAGTTTTGGCGGGAACTTGACCGGTGGTGGATTATTGCTCCTGTATTAATGTTTAAATCATGATTTGAAGTGGATTTTTATATGTAAAAGTGGTGTGATTTTGAGCATTAAAGTCTGCGCATGTGAACTATTAGTGGAAACGGTGAAACAAGTGCTCCGATGGTGATGTGAATATCAAGATATGGTGCCTATCTGCTAAGGCGCCTTGGGATACCATCGCCACTGTTTCTGGCTCAAGTTGCCGTTAAAATCTCCCGAAAGCTGTGCATTGTGATGCTTTAACATATTGTAAAGCAGACTACTATAAAGGATTATTATAACTTGATAGTAAAATAAATGAAAACATGGCTTAAAGGATAAGTAACCAAGCCAAAAATATTAATATGAAAACATTCTGACGTGTATGTGTCAATGTCAAAATCAGCTAAGGCTAAGTCTACGTCAGTAAATAAAATGATAGCGAGCGAGTACGGGAGTACATAGTTTCTGATAAACATTTAACAAGAATTTACACAAAAATGGTGCCTTTATAAAGCAATGCCGTTAGCCCGTCAAAATGGATCAGACTAATATAGATTTTACTTTGCCTCCGGCTCCTCGTGGTCTTTGTTTTGACCGTAATGATTTTGTCAAGGTATTATTCCTTGTTATCACTAGTTTTTATAAAAACAATATTAGAAATTTATTTATGTGTGTTGTTTGAGTTTATATTTTTTATTTTTACAGACGAACTTTTCAGTGGATAATTTTCTAATTGACCATCAAAATGTTGCCTCCTTGGAAACAATGCGTGATGACCTAGGAGTGTATCTAAAAGTTCTAAGGCTGACTATGATCGAGTTAATTAACAAAGATTACGCGAATTTTGTTAATCTATGTGCAACATTAATTGGCTTTGATAAGGCAATTGTAAAAATTCAAGTGCCATTAGAACATCTAAATGAAGAAGTTCTTGTGAGTTAATGCAATGACATTCTGTTATCTCATTTAATTTGTAAAAAGTTGTTTCGGAATAGGTCTTTTGTTATTATTTTTTTATGGGAATAGCTGTCCACATCTTATTTTCTTCAATAGATTTTAATTCCTCTTCTTTCTTTACTTCTTCCCAGTTACTTTTGTCAGGGCCATTTATTGCCTTGTCTAACTTCAAATTTTCTTCCATAGTTATAAAACTGTATTCATTGGTTTCATAACCATTCCACCATATTGGTCTTCTTCTTTCTCTCCTTTGATCATTTTCTTCAATGTTAACAAATTTACTAATTTTTACATTAAAAATATTTTTATTGAAGTAAAAATATGTTCTGAATTTTATGCTGTGCTTAATTTAAGCTTATGTTGTGTGATTAATTAATGAAAATTATGTTTTTTTTTAGAGTGTAAAACAATGTTTGGAGTGCAATGAAAGAATTATCTATTTGGCTTAATCAAAGACATGGTCTACTCAAAAAAAAGCAACTCTTAAAATACTACAGCCAAACAATAAATGGCTTGAATACATTGGAAAATATCTTAAAAGACATCTCAGATAAGAAGAAACATGAGCAAATAATTTTAGCTGAACGTACAGCTGTGCGATATAACCAATTAAAATTCACATTTTCTAAATGTGAAAATTTATTAAGTTCTGAGAACAAGGTGTTGTTTAATAGTATTAGTGAAAAGTTAGTACAGATATTAAATGACTTGGTTTTTTATTTTTGGAATGAAAATAATGAAAATAATCTCCTCAAAACTCTCATTATTATAAATATAAAACAATCAAAAAAATTCACGATATGGTGTTGGCCGACTGAAGATTGAAAGTGCAAGTGTATTATTATAAGTTAGTATAATATATTAATAGTATCTTAAATAATGACATAATTACTGTAAATTTCCTGATCTAATGTGTTTATACCTGATTTATCTCAAATTTACATATTAATAATATACTTAGTGATTAGCTGATTAGTTAATAAAGATATAAATCTACCATTAGTATCAATAATAGTTTTTAATATAGATTATAGTTTATAATTAATAGACCACAGCAACTAAACCGTGTGTGGTTTCTGCTGTAGGGCTGAAAAAAATTCATTTTGTTTTGTTTTATATATTTTGAATAAATGAAAAAAAAAGAGATTATGGAAGCCGTAGGGATCTCGCATGGCTCAGTGGTTTCAATTTTGAATGATCACTTGGGCATGAGAAAACTTTCCGCATGATAGGTGCCACGTTTGCTCACAGTCGACCACAAACGCAATCATGTAACAACTTCACAGGAAGGTTTGGCGTTGTTTAATCGCAATATGGAGGAGTTTTTGCGCCGTTTTGTAACGGTGGACGAAACATGGATCCATCACAACACACCAGAGACCAAACAACAGTCAAAACAGTGGGTTTCTAAGGGTGAATCGGCGCCAAAGAAGGCCAAGGTGGGTTTGTCAGTCAATGAAGTTATGGCGACTGTTTTTTGGGATGCACACGGGATAATCCACATTGACTACCTTCAAAAGGGAAGAACAATCAATGGGGAATATTATGCCAACTTATTGGACCGATTCAATGACAATTTGAAAAAAAAACCGACCTCATTTGGCCAAGAAAAAAGTTCTTTTCCACCAAGACAATGCAAGTGTGCACCCATGTGCAGTTGCCATGGCAAAAATCCATGAATTGGGCTATGAATTGCTCCCTCATCCGCCGCCTATTCGCCTATTCTCCAGATTTGGCTCCGAGTGACTACTTCTTGTTCCCAAACCTGAAGAAATGGCTTGGTGGAAAAAGATTTGACTCCAATGATGAAGTCATCTCGCAAACAAAGGCCTATTTTGAGGATCTCGACAAATCATATTTTTTTTTTTTTATAGGAGAGGGGGCAAACGAGCATGCGGCTCACCTGATGGTAAGTGACTACCGCCGCCCATGAACAACAGCAACACCAGGGGAATTGCAGATGCGTTGCCGGCCTTTTAAAAAGGAGTAGGCTCTTTTCTTGAAGGTCCCTAAGTCGTATCGGTCCGGAAAAATCGCTGGTGGTAAACTATTCCACAAGGAAGTTGTGCGAGGAAGAAAACATCTTCTAAATCGCACAGTGGTGGACCGCCAATCATCCAGATGGTGTGGATGGTATCGGGAGTTCTGCCGCGATGTGCGTTCGTGAAATTTGGCGGCTGGGATTAATCCGAACAATTCCTCAGAGCACTCCCCATGGTAAATGCGAAAGAAAATGCTAAGAGATGCAACATCTCTTCGCAGTGCCAATGAGTCGAGCCGATCGGAAAGGACTCGGTCGTCGACGATTCGAGCCGCTCTGCGCTGAATGCGGTCAAGTGGAAGAAGCTGGCACTGGGGAGCCCCAGCCCAGAGATGGGAACAGTATTCCATGTGAGGCCGAACCTGCGCCTTGTAAAGTTGCAGGCGTTGAGCCGGCATGAAATACTGTCCCGCTCTGCTGAGCACGCCAAGCTTTTTAGAGGCCAATTTGGCCTTCTCTTCCAAGTGACCACGAAACTGCACGCTACTCGATATGTCGACGCCGAGGATTCCGATACTGGCTGAGGCAGCAAGGGGAGTACCTTGAAACTGAGGAGATACGACAAAGGGGTTCTTTTTAGCGGTAAACGCGCAAACTTGTGTCTTCTGAGGATTAAACTGGACTAGATTTAGTCGCCCCCAATCCGAGACTTTGTCCAGCAAAGACTCGAGTTCAGACACAAGTTTGTTCCGGTACTCGGTGACGTTTTCCCGAGAAATATTGGCACGGCCGATGTATAGAGCATCACCAGTGCTGTCATCTGCATAGCAATGAATGCTACCAGCTTGCAACATATCATTGATATGCAGAAGAAACAGCGTTGGTGATAGCACGCAGCCTTGTGGAACACCAGCGTTAATAGGCTTGTAGTCGGAGCATGCACCGTCTACAACGACCTTGATGCTCCGAACTCCGATCTGCAAGAAAGCTGGTGATCCAATTGCATAATTTCTCGGGAAGCCCATAGGAAGGGAGTTTCGAAAGAAGCGCTTTGTGCCAAACCCGATCGAAGGCCTTCGCAATGTCCAAACTAACGGCCAATGCCTCCCCCTTGGACTCCACTGCCAACGCCCATCTATGAGTTAAGTAGACCAGAAGATCACCAGCTGATCGACCCCGACGAAAACCGTACTGGCGGTCACTAATCAGCTGGTGATCCTCAAGGTACCGCATGAGGTGGCAGTTTACAACGGATTCCATTATTTTGGAGAACAAGGGGGTGATGGCGATAGGCCTGTAGTTGGACGGATCTGAGCGGTCGCCTTTTTTAGGGATCGGGTGGACAAAAGCTGTCTTCCATGATTTCTGGACTACGCCTAGGGAGTAGGAGTACCGGAAAAGACGCGTTAGAACCGGTGCCAACTCCGGAGCACACGTCCTCAGCACAATTGGGGGGATTCCGTCAGGCCCACTCGACTTGTGGATGTCAAGGGAGAGGAGTGCTCTGCGAACCGAGTGCTGTGAGAATCGCACATCCGGCATGGAGCACTCACACCGCGGGATGGTCGGCGGTGTGTTCCCCCCGTCATCAACAGTCGAGTTGGACGCAAAAAGGGAGCCTAAAAGGTCGGCCTTCTCTTTTGCGTCGTGGGCCAGTGAGTCGTCCTCCCTGTGCAGAGATGGTAGTGATGGCTTACAGAAATTCCCTTGGACAGCCTTGGCGAGAGACCAGAATGCACGGGTTCCCGAAGGAAGGCGAACTAGTTTCTCGTCAATTCTGCCTATGTGCTCTGACTTTGCCTTGGCAATAACTCTTTTGAAGGACCTGGAGGCGAAGTTATACTTCTTTTTGAGTGTGCTGGTGTTTACATCCCGAGTCACCGAAGCCGCAGCCCAGGCTTGATAACACTCCTGCTTACTGCGTAATGCAATCTTACAGGAGCGACCAAACCAAGGCTGAGATCTGCCTCCGATGGGTACCACAGATGATGGAATAAATAGTTCCATTCCCTGTAGCACTACATCAGTGACAGAGTCAGCAACAGCGCTGGGATCATCCGGCGAGAAGCAAACCCGCCCCCATGGGTAGGAAGCAAAGATATTTTTTGGAAGGGATAAAAAAATTGGAGAAGCTTTGGACAAAGTGTATAGAGCTCAAGGGAGACTACGTTGAAAAATAAAATGATTAATTTATCAAAAAATCTGTGATTTATTTCAAAAGTCACGGACTTATTGACCCACCCTCGTATTATACGAATACTACACATTTAATAAAACAAACTTTACGGATTTTATTTTGTTTAACTTATTTTAATTTGTCACGTTTGGGTGCTTCAACTTCATTTTAGTATGTAACTTTTTGATTGTTGATTGAACCGTTGATTTTTTTGGCTCCGTAACCGGAATGCAAGTTAGTATCAGTGGGGTGTCCCCGCTCTACAGATAGGTAATTTAATAAACAGATAAAAATAAATAACACATTTATTAAATAAATAAAATTTACCATAATGAATAAAATTATCATAATATCTGACCCATTTCTTAAAAGAGTCTTAATACTGACCTTATCATGAATAAAAATATCTTTTGAAGTGTTAATATATAGGAAACGTTATTTAAATATATACATATATACGGAATGGATTTAATTTCTAGATCGATGTAGCCGCAGCCGTACGCGTTTAGTTGGCGTGACTCCTATAAATTAAAAATATAATTTCCTATCTATTAACTAGCTGTTCCCCGCGATTTCGCCCGCGTGTAATTTATTACAATTGGATTTCATGGGTTTTAATTTTTTTCCACGGAACCCTAATTCTTTTTCTAAATTAAAAGTAACCTAAGTTCCTCCATATAATATCAGTTATCTGCCACTGAAAGTCTCGTCAAAATCGGTTCAGCCGATTCGAAGATTAGCCGGAACAAACAGACAGACAGAAAGAAAGACAAAAATTTTAAAAAGTGTGTTTTTGTTATAAGTACCGTATGTATTTTCATATGCATTTAGTAAAAAACTGTTATTTTTACTAAATGCATATGAATTACATATGAATTACATTACAAATAGACACTTCAATTTTATTTATTTGTATAGATATATATTAATAGACAGGAAACGATATTAAATAAGACTTAGATATTATTAAATATCATTTAATTTATCTATATATATGATATTTTATAGGAGTCACGCAAACCAAACGCCCACGGCCACGCCCCACGTTTGAACTAGGACTGTTGATAAAATATCGATATATCGAAAAATCTATTTTATTATTTAGAAATATCGATTTTGGTTTTTAATATTGAATTTGTTTTTAATATATTGAAAAATATTCTAAGTTTGATATTGAAATATAGATATACGACAGTCGATATATTTTTTAAAATAATTTATTTTTTTATTTTTTCACGTAAATCATTTAATCTACAACACCATCGTAAACTTAAATCCTAATCCTTGATGGAGCAATCTACTATACTTTATTTACACTATATTATGTTTTTCATTTTTCCCCAGTTTATTTATTTGCTTATTATCTTAAAAAGAAATGTAATTTTGTATAGAATATCTCTGTGATATTAAAATCACTATAATCTATGAAACTTAATACTACTTTACTTACTGTGAGTTTTGGCAGGAGCTTGACCATCGACGGATGGTTGCTCCTGTTGTATCGTTTAAATAATCGTTTGAAGTGGATTTTTATCAAAGTGATGCGATTATGTGTATTGTCTGCGCATGTGAGCTATTAGAGAAAACGACGGAATAAGTGCGTCGATGTTTGTATAAGCCTCAAGTTATTTTAATCGCTTAGGCGTCTTATGATTTACTTCCGTGCTATCAGAAATAGCTGTTAAATATTTGATTTCTTCAGCTGCATCCGTAGCATCTGAACGAATTACTTCTACAATCAATCTTTTAGTGCCCAATAATCGCAGTATTGAAACAGCTGAACATATAAAACAACGAGTATTTTTTGAAAACTCTTACTGAAAAATATTGGTAAACATAATTGTCTTATTTAAATTAAACAATAATTAAAGTTAAAGTTACAGCCTTATACCTCCCAATGCTGGGCACTCCTCAGCTGGGCAGGCCTCTCCTAATTTATGAGAGGGTTTTAGGGTAACGTCCGCCGCGCTGCTCCAATACGTGTTAGCGAACTTCACGTTTTTTGAATTTTTATTTTATTTCTCAGACATGCAGGTTTCCTCACGATGTTTCCCTTCATCGTGGGGCACGTGGTAAATCATCACTTAAAATTGCAATTAACAATTTCATTGGTGCCGGCGGGGATCGAACACGGGTTGCTCGCGTACTGTGATATTTACAGCGAGCGCTAACCATCTAAGCTACCACGGTTACTAAGAACTGTAACCTAACATTTTCATTTCAAAAACCCCTATAAACTAAAATTTTTTAAAACTAAATTTAAGTAAAAAAATTAAACTGACCATTTATTTTTTAACTCAAAACAGGACATGGGCTTATTTATATTATTATTAACAACAAATGTAATTAATATTTAAATTATTAATTACATTTGTCAGTGGATTAAATTTGCTTTAATAAAGTTGGTGATGATTTTA